ATAATTACAAAGATCAGCACACGTACACACCTATTAGTTCGAGAATCGTCGCATATCTGAGGCAAGGCCGCTTGATCGTTTCGCTAATAGCGAAACGATCAAGCGGCCTTGTCTGAGGCCTGACCCTGCCTATCCTTCTTTTTAAGCGCTCGTCTTTGCTCGTCCCTTTTTTTCTCCTCTATCGCTCTAGTCCACGTAGGCGTATTCATACATCATAAAACGTGCTCACGATACTTTCGATTCGTAGATTTCCCATTTTACAATTACGTGACTCGTAGCTTGGTGATAACGGAGAAAAGACACAGATAGGACGTTGGTATAAGTCATAGTTATGATTTAACAGATTCGAGACAGCTTGGTAGCCCGAACGGCCCCAGGCTTTCGCCCATGCATACTAAGTGACTTTCATTGCAAGCATTTAGCTTTCCGAAGTCTATGACAACAATTGTTTGGCATTACAGGCCGCGAATTTAGCGCCAACAAGTCGAGGCAGTCAGGCCGAATATTCGGTATTCGGCCTGACTGCCTCGACTTGTTCGATTATGTTAACAACTCAAATATTTATTTTCACATTTTCACTTTGTTGTCCTTCTCTGTTTTTTTTCCGTTATTTACACGTGTAGGTCATTTCACGTGTCATTTCATCAACATTTGATATTATCATTTATCACATACTGCCATTACGTTCTTGTCTGTCAGCTACAAATGTCAAGAATTAACGCGATTGGCGAAGCGTACTGACAGCGGGCCAATAGAAAGCAGGGTCCTTGCCATAATCAGGTTTGCGCGCCAATTTTTGTACTTGCATTAATCAAGCCGAATAATTTTGCCGAATATTCGGCTATTCGGCCACGCTTCTGGCCGAATATTCGGTATTCGGCCTGACGCCGAACATACTATTCAATGCATTTTTACTAAAAATGCATTTTCGGGTGTGTATGATATATATTAGTTTAGATTAGTAGAAACGTTTAATTGAATTAACGGCAAATAGCAAAATACAATACGTCATCCTGCCATATAATATATTACAAATACAGTATTGAATCCATATAATATATTACAATATATTATATGGATTCAATACTGTATTTATGGATACAGTATTTGTACTGTATCCATAAGTTAATCATATTACAGTAGAACCTCGATTATCCGGACTAATTGGGGATGAAGGTAGTCCGGATAAGGAAAAATCCGGATAATCGAAAAAATACTTTAATTTGTCTTTTAATGATAATACAACACGTTTTCTTTTCGATGACATATCGGTGATATTAAAAGTAAATGCTGTATTTAAATTGTGATCAAATTTTTAAGAAACAAACGTTCGTATTGAATTTGGACTACTACTAACCAACGCTAACAGACTACCTATTGTTTAAAAGGCCCTCTGGTGGCGCAAGAAGACGGATTTCATAAAATAAAAAGCAGTTGAAACTGCATTTTTAAGAATAAAAATTTGACAAACTATTTATCGTTTTATGACGAGTAAAATTTTTTCGTCGCGTTCGCGGCTTTTAAGTAATGCATAAACCTTCGAGGCGCGAGGCCCTTCGGACCGCGAGGCATAGGCGGTGGCCCACGTCGTCCATGCCTTACGCCGCCCTTGGTCATAGAAATGATGTAATTTGAATATAAATTATTTATAAATACGTATGTCAAGTTATATTTTTATTACTACGTAAAATATATTTAAGAGTTTACGACCACTGTGCTGGGTGAGACGTTGTTGAAACAAAAAAAGTTATGCATTCCATCACGTACATAAACAGTATCGTAATTCGCCAAGTGCAAATCAGCAAATTCGTAAAATTTTTGTTTATTTTGAACAATCCGGATAATCGAAAATCCGGATAATAGAGGTCCGGATAATGGAGGTTCTACTGTATATGGATTCAATACTGTACAAATACAGTATTGAATCCATATAATATATTAATGCCATATAATATATTACAAATACAGTCGTGAATCCAGTAATCATCGTAACGTGCTCAATAACACAAATATAAATAATAGTGAAGGTCGTAAAGGTAGACCTACTAATAATAAAATTATGGATATCTGTAGTAAAATATCTACAGTATATTTCTACATTGAAGCATTTAAAACAGGGGTGTCCAACCTTTTTGTTTCTCTGGGCCGCATTGGAAGTAGTCAAAGATTTTTGGGCCATATGTATATATAATATATATTTGTGGCCCAATATAGAAGTAAATTTAAGGATTAACATGTCTAAATTATAAATATAAGTATTAAATCTTTATCACGGAAAAGGATATTTTAAAAAATTACTTCTTCAGACACTTTCAATTTTTACTTAGAAATAGATAAATTTATTATAAAAATGTTATAAAAGAGACAAACGAAAATTTATTTCAAAAACATGAATATTTGTTCTATTTGAGTCTCTAATTAATAAAAAGAGACGAAACACCATTTTAAAGTGCATTTTTATTCAACTAATATATTTATAAATAATATGTAGTCCAAAAAAGTAGCCAAAGCGACAAATGATGTTTTTACGTCAAATTAAAAAATAGTAGGCACATTTGGCGCAATGTAGCCAAATCTTGCAACGCTGGAAGAAATACTAAATAAAGTTGGAGTTATAACTCAAAATATTATAGACCCAAATGCGGGAAAAGAGAGAAAGGACAGAAGGTAAAGAAGTGAGAAAGGTTGGAAAATCAAGGGTCAATATTTGCAAAATAAATCTATTTAACCTTTCTGACTACTTTTTATCTTTCGTCCTTTTCCTCCTTTTTCCAAATTTGGGTCTATAATCCTTTGAGTCAAAACTCCAGCTTTATTTAGTAATCCTTCCTCATTCACACATCTCCAAGTATTTGAAAATATCAATACAGTAGAGTCCCAAAAACTCGGCACTCGATAACCCGGCAGTCCGGATAACTCAGCTACACCCTGGCAGGGCAAAAAATCCCCTAGTTAATTTTCATTATAGACAGCTTTAGACCTGAAAATATTTTCTGAGGTCTGTCTTATCAGGTACTATTTTCTGAGGTCTGTCTTATCAGGTTACACTATGTATTCATTAATTTTCATTTTCATGTAGTAAAGGCTCTATGCCTTCATAAAGTACTTTCCTTTGTTTAAGGGTATTTGGGCAGTTAATTCTCTGTTGTACTCTCAAGCAAACAATACGTACAAGTACTGTACAGTACTTGTATTTTCTGAGGAAACACTCGTACTTATTCTTTTTTAACCCCATTCCCGATAACCCGGCATTTTCACAAACCTGGCCACCCTTCGGTCCACATTAGGCTGAGTTTTCGGGACTCTACTCTATTTCCTTTCCACTGAAAAATAAAATATAAACAAATATTTTCGGCTTTGTGAAACTTCTTTTTTGAGTTTATGCCGTTGAAATAAAAAAATAATAGAAAAATTAAAACATTTGTCGATTTTGTTTACACGTTTATTGGGCCGCATTGGAACTTGCCTTGGGCCGCATGCGGCCCGCGGGTCGCGGGTTGGATACCCCTGATTTAAAATATGGAAAAAACCAGTTATAACAAAACCATAAATAGGCCTATTATTATTAACTTGTTGGAAATGTAATAAAGGTATATTGTTTATCAACAAATAAACAATATACTTTTTGCATTTTCATCCTTGGTTCAACAGGCTCACAATCATGAGACCGGATTTTGAAGGAATGAGGCCCACACGTCAGAGACAGATCTTTCATGGAAAATTTCTATAGAGTTGATTGCACACATTTGATCCCGAACTCCCTAAGAGGTAGCCTGACTTTCAAATTGCCCACGCCATCTAGCCTTTGTTACACAATACCATATAATATATTTAATAGTAAAAAAAATTATTTTTATAACTTTCATTTCCGTATTATTTAATATAGAAATTACAATACGCCTACTTTTAAAACCAATACACCTTACAATAAGAAACAACAGAAATTTTCAAAAGCGATAAATTTTTTATAATATTTGTAACAAATCTTCATGAAATGAAAAAATTTATGCATAAAATAAAAATAATTACAAGCCCACATTTTCAAATAGGTTTTATTATTCCTTTTACACAAGGTTTGTGTACCTTGTGTAAAAGAAATAATCCACGTCAAGGTCACTCCACATGAAAAAAAATCGCTTTCAAATCAAAATTATATTATTTGAGAAAAGATCCCTAACTAATCACTTGTCGGTTTTATTTCAAAAATTATTTTAATCAAAAATAAAAATATAATTTCATATTTTGTATAAAATGATTATAAAAATTAAACATAACTATTCAATATAACACAGATATGTTACTTTTTATTATATTCCATTATACACCAAATTGCTTAACATTTAAAAAACAATATTCTAAAAAGCGAAAAACTTTACGTATAAAATAGTTACGCTTAAACTAGCGGCAAAACGGAAACGTTTTACAGTATAAAAATATAAATTCACCTTTCTAAAATGAAAAATAATTACTTTTTTTTACATTTTAAAGTTCTTAAAGTGTTGTTAAATGATAATATTTAAACAGAAATAAAGTAACAATTTTTTTACTTTAATTATCCAAGCAAAATTCCAGTTTACAATACAACTGCAACCTTTCAATTGTGCAGCATTTGCGAAAGTACAGTATTTATCGTTCTGTAAATTAAAAAGTACTCGTCACGCAAACTGTATGGTAGCTTAGAATATAAATTTTAGTAATGGAATTTTAATGCACTTTAAATAAAGTTTATATTTGCTGAACACATTATATCAGATCGAAAAAAATAATATCCACTCGTAATTTTATAAATCTATTTTATAAAACTATATTAAATTGAACATTAATTTAATGTAAAATTTAAAACATTAAACGTTTTTATTATTCGAAAATATATAAAAATTTAATTTGAAAATAATTGTAAGAGAGTTAATTTCTTAAATAATTAACTTTTTCTTTATGATTAAATATAATAATATAACACTAAATAAATGATCATTTGTAATTTATAATATTTTATTTACCGTGTATGATCATGTCTATGTATAACAGTCTTACTGCAGAATGTTATTTATCAGCTCTATTTCTTAAGTAAATTCAAGTTCGAACGAGGCACTACGGGCTGCAATTTTTAAACTATTCGCCAGTTATTCGTGTATAATTATATTCATATACAGTAATTGGTGTATAATTGATCGAGGCCTTTAGCCAAATCTTTCTACGTCTAATCATCGTTTTCATTTATCTAACTCAGTTCTCAAGATTAAGGAACGACAGGCAGAAGGACAGTGGAAACTTATAGGTCTACACTTTCGAAATTGCAGTCCAATTACTATATTTTACAGTATATAAGACACAACATTTTTCCAAAACAAAGGCTCATCCTGTGTGCTATCTCTTTATACGGTTAAAGCGGGGAAGAAAAACAAAAAGTACTTGAATTATCAGAAGAGAACTCTTGTTCTTCCTTGTTTTTCTATCTGAGAAAACTTGATGAAAAACATTTAGTAAATGTATGTAGTTGTGTTAATTCTGTATATATAATAGTTTGTGCACTGCCATTCAGCCATCAGTAATGAAATAAACCTCATTTTCAAGTTCTTCAATGTAAACTATATCTATAATTGTGAAATGGTTTGAATACTTAATTTTTTTATTGAGGACACATTTCGTCTTCGTAATGAATTATGTAAGACAAAATTTTCAGATTTTTTCCTTACACAGAATACATGAGTAAGTAAATTAAAGATTTTTCAACATAAAATTGAACTTGATACTTTAAAGTAAGTACTCTTGAAAGTGTAGTGATTTTTAGCACCGCTGTTCCAAGTCTTTACTACTGCTCTATAGTAAAACTTTGCATTATATAAAATCAATATCAATCTATTATTTTATAAAGGTTCATAGAACTTAAAGAATTCAGTTACAGTTGAATACCTCAATTTAGTGTAATGTAATTCTAGCGAAAAAATATATAGATACTGTACAAGTATTACTTAAATGAAAAGTTTGCTTATAATATTCAAAACTTGCATATTTTCAATACTAAATTTAAATTTAATTTACATCGCAGCATTGCGTAAAGACAAAATTTTCAACCTATTACCTCTACAGCATTTAAATATTTAAAAGAAATGTCGATATAGTTTAACTGTAAAGCATTCAAGAAATAAACTAACTAGTGATAAAGTATATCCAACCACTAGAATTGAAAATGGTCCAACCAAATCATACATGTTTAAAACAAGTTTAGTTTCGGAGTTTTCTGAATGTGATGATCGATTTATGCTGTTTCTTCTTACTTCATCCTTCTCGAACTTCCTGATAATTCCGGTTTCAAATAAGCGTAAAATTCTGAAATTAATTTTAAAATTATATTCGTTAAACAAATTTAAAGCAAAAGACTATAAAGATATTTCTCGATCTTACACTTTGTCGATGTTTTTCTTGTATGGAAATTTCTTGATTATACCTATTGCAATAGTATTAACATATAGTTGATCTGTAGATATCAGAAAACTTTCAATTCCGAAAGGATTGAGATTCAATTTCATATAAAGATCAAACGTTATATAACCAACACTTTCTGTCATTAATCTAATAGCAAAATTTTCGTCGAGTTGGGAATATGTGAATTTATTTGAATCGATTAATTTTTTCAAGGCCAGGCCTGTGCCTTCAGTTGATCGCTGTAAATAATTTTAATAGTTTGAATAATATGGAATTAAATTTATTATAAACACAGTGAATAATATAGAAATTCTATAATCATGTAATTTTTACATTATTCATATAGAATATAAAGTCATTGAAATTTCTGAATAATAGCGTTGACAATATATGCAGGTAATATTAATATTAAAGAAAAGTTCATATAATTGAACAGTTTATGTTTTAAGAAGTAATTACTTTTATTATGTTTTACTTTAGATCTATACATATTCTTGATATCTAACGATATCTTTCTAATATTTTTATGCATTTTTACTGTCTTTAATCCAGTTTCGGAGCCAAAGCGTCCCAAAGCTTCAGAGGCGTCAGCTTTGAAAAAGCTTCTAAATTTTATTTTATACTAGCAGATGAGACCGGCGTTGCCCAGGTAAAAAGTAACGATAGCGAAGATTAAGATAATTACATTACAGCCAATCTTACCCGTTTTCACAGAATGCAAAAATTAGATCCCTCTGTTTCCAGACTAATTAGAAAATTTTTAGATAAAAATATGTTTGATTTCCCGCATAAACGCAAAAAACCGCATCTGCGCCTGTAAATCTTGCACGTTGCTTTCTCTTAACACTTCTATTGTTGAAGAGTTAATCTTGTCCCTCTCCCCCGTGGGGGGAAATTTCGAAAAATCCCTTCTTGGTGTGCGTTCTCGTAACGTACCCTAACTGTGTACCAAATTTCAACTTTGAACTCCTAACCGCTTGGGCTGTGCGCTTATTATTATTATTATTATCAATTCGTCTTGATTATATATATAGATTTATTTGAAAATGACGTTCGAACCCACGACGGATCTTGCTTTATATACCTCCATCAATGGGTAGTTCCACCCATACAAAAAAGGCTTCGAATGTTCCACAATATTCCAGAACATTCCACAACATTCGACAGTGTTCTGGAGTACTCCACAATGATCTGGGATGTTTCGGAATGTTCCCGAACGTTCCAGAACATCCCGGAACATTCTGGAATGTTGTGGAATGCTCTCGAATACTCTCGAATGTTCTGGACTGTTCTAGAAATTTCTAGAGGGCGAAACTTCCAGCCCTTATATCTTCAATAGCACGCCCTTCAGGTAAAACGGGAACCTTTATGGATGGGGGATAGAAGGCTACCACACCATATAACTTCCTTGATCGTACCGGGACTTGTTTTTGAGTTTTAGCGGAACGCACTTTGTACACTTATTTTTATTATGTGTATTATTGATTATAGTTTGTTTAATTTTTATTGTACACGTCTTAAAGTTAAATAATTTAATTAAAATTTTGCTATTTATTAATAACCTGTGTAATTTTCTGTGTAAAATAATAGACATATCTGTCTTATTCATACAATTAAAAAATTGGGAAAGGGGTCTCAATTTTTCGTTAGCTTAGTGCCATAAAGAATATAAATCCGGCAGTATTTCAATCTCCAGCATTAAAATAAGAATGCTTACTATATAGTAAGCATCTTTATTTAAAAAATATTTATGCATGCCAGAGTTTTAGACTGGGAATATGGCTATTGGAACAAATGAAGCGAATATGCATTAATTAGAATAAATGTGTTGGCCTAAAATTGGCCGAGATATTTAACTCGGCCAATTTTATAATAGCTATTAATAATAACATAGCAGATATTAAAGCAGTGAGAAAATTTTTCCGTTATGTTGATGATTGCTTGATACGTTTTAATAACTCCATAATTAATGAGTATAATGTATTACATTTACTAAATAATGCAGACAAGCAAATCTAGTTGTCATTAGAAACTAAAAAGGTTAAAAAAACTAGCGTTTGTAGATAGATACATCATTAATTAAACAGATTAGATAATTTTTTACTGGTTCAAAATTATGTAAAAAGTTGTGATATCAAAAAAGTTATATATTTTTAATCTAATTAGCTAATTACATAAAGAAAAACTCTCTTAAGACGTTTAAAAAATGTCAGCAGTACAACTGTCAAAAAGCTAAAAAAAAGAAATATTTGATATAATTATTATTTATTTGTTAAATGATTATCTTTTAGCAGTAAATCAAAAATGTTAAACGAAACATACAAATGTGGTATTAAAACAAAGTTCTATTAATCCACGTAATCTTATAAAACTGTACACTAGAATGGAGTGTTTGAAAAAATTCAGAGTTTCGATTTTATAAAAATATATTACTCCCGAAATTAATAATCCATTACAAAAAAATTATCTGTAGATTTATACAACATCGAAGATTTGGTTGCATTTGGTTTGCTATATACCTCTGAACTCAGAGTTCAGTTAAGAATGCTTTAACTTTCATTGACGGTTTTTTGAAATATAGGCTAAACTTTATTTGAATTAAAATTATCTACGTAAATATTTTGTATAAGTACGAGTATAATTTTTAATTTTATACTTTCCGGTTTAAGTAATAATTTAAAATTTCTATTCATAAAAATTTTCGTGTAACAAAACGTAAAATTAATCAAAATTTAGTCCATTATTGAGCAGCGGTAAAAAAAAATTAGACGGATGGCAATTATTTTTTTCTGACTAAATGATTTGAAAATTATTATATACGTTTATCTAAATTGTATAGAGGAGAAGGTGGTATTATGGAACCCCAATTACATTTTAGTGAATTGTAAACAAGGTATCATAACTACACCCACATTTTTTGTGCGAAAAGTACTGGTAACTATTAAACTAAATGTTCCTAATTGGATTTTTCGCTAGTGTAATTATAAGTATGGTTTTTGAAGGCTTTTGTACAAAAAGTCCGAAAGTAGGCTTAGAGAAAATCGGGTGGTAATATGGAACCTTACTGTATATTTTCAAAAAAAATGCTTTAATGTAGCCAAAAACAAATAGGAAAGGACAAAAAATGTTAAATAATTACCAAATTATTTACTCCAATGTATTTTATCGCAAAAATGCTTTTATAATAGAAAAATATGACCTCCATCAACAATATATATTCCAGCAGCTCTTTTTCGATATTCTCGGGAAGAATTGGCTTTCTACCTAGTGTCTTTTTCACAAATTGCTCTGGAGGAATGTCTGCTTGCAAATAGAAAGTTCGGAGGAGTTGAGTTCCATATTACTGTAAAAGCACCAATGGGGTCCGTATTTCACGCATCGCCATCTTGAATTAACTTACGTCTGTCAAGACCAAAATTTAAAAAACGTGAACATCACACAGATTAATATGTACCCCTAAGTCTCTGGAACGGAATACATGCACCAATGAACCTACAACTACACGATTTATATTTTAAAAATAATTAAATTCACTTAGCATTCAAAACTTGCGAATTTTGAAAAAAACAAATTTGCTGATTAAATGCGGACAACCGTTTAACTGAAGTAAAACGGGTTTTCCCCTTGCTATGGATGTCTGCCTAGTTCAGTTCAGCCACATTCCGCTACAGTTCGCCTTTATTATCAGTTCGAAATGGGATATATAATACCTGCAGTGTTCCATAATACCACCTTCTCCTCTATATGTATATTAGCTCTAAAATTGCTAATATTTTAATTTTAAAATAATGATGCCACACGGCATGCTAATTCTGTCTTTTAGATACAAAAATATTTAGTTTTTGTTTCCAATTAAAAACATCACATTATACTTACAAGAATCACTCCGAAAATTGAATTATGAGGATTTATGCCTATAGTATATTTCCCATTTTCTGCAGCCTTCACTAATTCAGTAAACGTTCTGGGAACATTTTCATAACCAGGAAATGTGATGAAGGACATCAATGCACCGCTATAACTAGCAGTAAAAATAAATGTTGCAAATATCCATCCCGAGACAATCATCCTGCAGCTGTGGCCGGAAGGTAAAAATAACTCATTTCCTATGTTTAATAATACATTATTACTATATAATATTTATTTAACTAAACTGTTAATAATATTAGTTTTCATACAACCTTGATCGCAAAATGATCCAAATAAGGCCCAAGCAATATCGTATGCTTTTGAATGTTTTCTCTTATGCAATTCTTCATCTTTTCGAAATATAATTGTAAATATAATTACACAGATGAAAAATACGAAAAGCGTTAATAACCACATCTGTAAATAAATAACAGAAATATTCGTAATTATTACATAAATACGCAGGTATGTAAAAATAATGTTATCTGTAATGCTTGCTTTGTTCTAGTTTTGAAATACACAGTCACAACTAGGGTTTTTCCAGCGGGATCCCTACTATTATTTAACCCGAGAAGTTATTCTGATCTCAGAAAATTCAACAAATTTCTTAAAAATTCACTGTTTTCTTACTTCCTGTCAAAGTTGAGGAAATTTTGTTAATAGAAAGTATAATTAACTCTAAACCGTCAGAATACATTTGTATTTACTAATTTAAAGCTTGCTTATTAGTTTTTTACATTTTTGCTGATTTTGGCATGTCACAAATTATCAATAATCAATATGTAGCCAATTTGTGACAGGATTGAAAATTCTTTACTTGCCAGAACCTATAATATCTGGAATAATTGCGCTTATGCTGTCTTAATTTATAAACATGCTCATTAGCTTCAATAACTGCATTATGCCAGATTGTGCAAATTGGAATAGGATACAAACGAGTACGAAGTATGCAAGTATGAAGTGGATGTCATGTGTAATACACATGACATCCGCCTTCTCTTAAATGCACTATAGACGATTCCACCTACATCAATTGAATAAAAAAAAGGCATTCTCGGTAGCAGCACTTTTCTTTAGTAAAATAAGAATCAAATTGAGTGATCGGAATATTGACCATCTTTGCTTTTTAAAATTTTAATACAGATTTACAATAATATTTTGTACTAGCAGACCCCGCCACGCGTTGTTGTGGCTCAAAATGTATCTATTATATATGTAAAACACATCCCCCGTGGAGGGGGGAAATGTTTCGAAAAATTTCTTCTTAGTGTACATTCTTTTGACGTACCCTATTAAAACGCAATCAAAAACGCAAAAACCCGCATCTAAAATAATATAATAGAAGCAGAGTTCTTTACGTAAGCCTTAATCCTAACATCTCCCTTCGGTGGAGAGAATTTCGACACGTATATTATATAAAAACACGTGCGTATTCGAATGCAGCGTTGTGTCAAAATTTCATAAAAGCCTTAGCCTAGATTATATCTTTTAACTTATATGAATGCTTAACGGAATAATATACAGCCTATGTCCACCCTGAAGTTCCATTCTAAATATTGGTGAAAGAATTTTTGAAATCGGATGAGTAGTTTCGGAAATTACCCGCTATATCCAAACTTACTTATTATATACTTACATAGGGGAGATCGGGGCAAGATCGGCATGTTAAGCTTTACTTAAATTTTGTGTAATAAATACTGCTGTAAACTGAAAAAAAAGCTTTGCATATTGTCTATTGGAATGTTACCTTACTATAGAACTGGTTAAAATCAGTTTGGAAATAAAAATAATTAAAATAATTACAACTTTACAAGAAGAGAGAAATTGACGAAGTTGCCCCGGGTATAGGGGCAAGATCGGCAACTTCTCTCTTTTTGTAAAGTTGTAATTATTTTAATTATTTTTATTAAAGTTGCCCCTGGTATAGGGGCAACAGTAATGGGGCAAGATAGGCACGTATATAAAATTATGTTATTAACAATGTATAAGTTGGAATTCACTATTAAAACAAAGAAATACAAATCCAACACCCATTTAATATTATTACAACGAAATGCAAGTTCAAAGACATATATACATGAATAACAAATGCAAACATGTTTTCATTTATCATCTGTTTGATTTTTATCCTTTGCTTCTAATGTGGCTTTATGTTGCCGATCTTACCCCGCTAGTCATGATTTCGAAACATTAAGTACAACCCTGAGAACAGAATGCCAAGCCACGATCTGGCCACGTGAATAAGTTGAAGTTACATCCTTCTAACAGGAAAAGTAACTTTCGTTATCATGGAATTATAACAAAACCTGCCAATTCAATATAAATGGAAAAAAAATATTATATGGAATTGAACGAAAATGAAAATTTGCTTGATAATTCAACTACGCTTGTTGGAGAACAATAAAAACACTACACTCAACAAGCCACCAATAAAACTCAACTGCCTAACCTATAACCAAAGTCTCCTTTTAATTTGTTTTTGAAAAAAAGCGCTTGACAAACTTGCCCCGCATGCCGAAGTTGCCCCGATCTCCCCTACAAGCATTGCCTCTTTATAATATTAGTATAGATTATGTTCTATTTAATTAAATAACGAAAATTACTTTGTAAGTTAGATGTTTAATCTAAGTTCATTTTTTCTTTAAATTTTCATTTCAATTCAAAGATATTTTTGTTGTAAAGAGTTTTCAACAAACTTTAATAATTTTTTTCTATTTGTGAAAATTTCTAAGTGATTCAAAAGTAATTTTTTATACATATTTTACACAGCATTAGTAATATTATTTTGAAGGTTGCAGGAAGTACTAAGTTACTTAAAAATAAAAAATAATTATGTCATTCGATTTTAAGACTTATTTAATATCTTAATTAATTATATCCCGGAATCCCGGAAAACAGTTCACTTTCTTCTCAGAATCCTGAGACAAAAAAAAGATAAAAATGACAAACCTTAGTCACAACGTAGCAGTTCGGCATAATTTTCATTAAATTATTTCTTTATAACAATAAATTAATATTTATAATGAGTTACAATAAATTTTTATAGACTACATCTCCTGCAGGATTATATATTTCTGTGATGCTAAAATAATATGAATCACAGGAAACAGACTAAAACATGTGCATATTTAGTTATAGGAATACACCATACACATGGAAAGAAATATAATAATGAAAAAAAACATATTCTTTCTCTAAGCATTTATGCTTTTATAGCATCATAACCAACGAAGGGAAATTTTTTTAATAATAAAAATGAGTACTTCACAAAGTGAGTTCACACACCTCTGTGTAAACGTGAGGCTCTACTATCAACACTTTGTATGAAATTAGAATTTCTTACAACTGAAACTTTAAAATATTTTAAAATATCCCTACTTGAAATTTAACCTTAAATTCTGAAAATTAAACATAATTTTGGTAAACCTTAAAATTAAATACGTAAGATTCTATATAACATTAGCAAAGAATCTGTATTGTTCATGCAGACAATTGACTATTTAGTGACTAAATAAATTAATGAGTATTTGTATAAACAGTATTTTGCTATATCACATTTGACTGAAAGCTTCGAAAGCAGTACTTTATATGTGTACTACGAATTTAAAATTTTAACAGGTCCGAATAAGAACAAAATATTAATAGAAATATATAGTGGATACCACAAAATCATCTTTATACATATATAAGCCATTGATCGCATGTCAGTATATCTGTAACGGCATGCTTAAAACGCCCATTAAGGGAGCCCTAGCGATTATTTTAAATTAACAATAAATTATTTTTATTCGTAATAGGAATTTATTATTGATATAAATTTATTATTTATACCATGGAATGGTATAAATAATTATTGTATGCCTTGATTAACCTTGCACTGCACGTTTACAATATTCCATGTGCGTTGACTCATGGGAACTTTGTTGAAAAAATGGCGGATTCATTTAAAATCGAGGTTTACAAGCGAAGGTAAATAAAAAATTAAACTATTTTAAAGTATTTGTAGAATGTTTAATAGGTAGAAATATAGATCCGTATGACGCGATTGGGACAGTAAGATTTACCCTCCGAATGAGCACAGAGGTGGCGACCTCCACCTCTGTGCGAATAAGAAATGTCTAATGAACCATACCCCTATGTGCGACCCTTCCCGAGATATAGCCCTCTGAAAATTATTCCATGGGTCATGTGACCTCCTGTTTGCCATAATTTACCCCGAATAAGCAGGTCGACAAACCCCCGAGTATGCGCGAGCGCCTTAATTTTTTTTCGCGCGGTAGACTCCCTTTTGACCACGGTGTCACATGGCCGGAAATGACGTAGGCGAATTTTCAGGGGCTTATATCTCGCGAAGGGTTGCACATAGGGGTATGGTTCCTTTGACTTTATTGTTTGCATGGGGGCTACAGTTTGGGAGGGTCGCCATCCCTTCATTTGGATGGTAAATCTTACCATTGGGACTTTAACGGAGCTGTAGAGCATATTGATAGGAACAAAAAAGTCAAAGGAACCGTGCCTCATGGAAATTTGTAAAGAACACCATCTAGGGGCATCCCAGGCTACTAGTTTATTTATAAAATATTGAATTTTTATAGTTATCCATAACATGTTAGGTTGGTACAACTATATTTGCTTTTCTGCTCAGAATATTGATATCGTTATTTGTGAATATAGCAATGTATTGATATTGAAGAGATGAACAATATTTTGAAGTATTTTGATGCTTTTGTCATCTCAGCTATGAACTAGAAGGGACCCAAAATAACTTTTATTAAGTACTTTCTGGAACATAATATAAAGATTATCCTGGAACAAATTACTACTTGAAAACATAATTTGGACAGGAATCTAAACTTAATTATTATTGCTATATACAAATGCTGCTGTACTTGCTTTTTTCAAAGAGTAACAAAAATGTTCTTGTTGAGTCAGATACTGAAAAAGAAGGGAGAGACTATTTTAGGAAAGAGCTTGGAATGAAANTATAAAATATTTTATTATAAATGTAATATTTATTACAATTTATATTTATTATCAATATTTTAGATAATAAATATCGTATTTTTCTACGATATACGTGGAATATCTTACTTGAATCCGAGATATTCGACAAGAACAAGAAAGATTCTTGACATAATTCCTATGTTTACAAACTTCTCTTTATTTTCATCCAATTGAAGAAGTCCAGGAATCTTATCAATAAAACAAAAAACAAAAGAAATGTATTACACATTGAAAAATAGTGGGTATTTTTCTTACAATATTGTATTTTTACTATTCTCTAATTCGTATTTAAGAATGATAATTCTGGAAAGCAATGTAAGTTACATGATTTATACAAATTCTATTAGTAAAACACGTATAATATTTAACTTTTTATATTATTAAGATAAATCACGGTTAGATGGTGAATAAAAGTTCTGAAAGATGTGAGTGTGAAAATAAATTATATTCTAAAAATCCGACTGAACTAATAATTTATCACACCAATCAACACAAAATCGGTCAAATTAATAGTGTTTTCCGATAGTTGTAAAAAAGAAAGTATAAGTTTCTATTTAATCACTATCTCACTTTTACAGATGTAGGTTAATTGTTGAACAGCATAGAAGTGAGCCTTCTACCAGAGTCTACACTATTATTTTAGACCGATTTTAGGTTAGATTTATTATTCAAGCTTATAAATTGTTATATAAAGATAAAAGTCGTCCGTTAATCTTAAGATATTCGAAGTTACAGTAAATATAAACATGCGTAATACATTTGCAAGTCAGAATCAGAAACATTCGATATTTTCACTTATTTTTATAGCAATTACGCGAAAAGAGCAAGCACAGTTTTCATGTAACATAATATAGCAATGAATGACGCTATGTTTCGACTTATAGAGTAATTACATGAGATCACCATCTAATAGTCATTTACCCTAAAACAGTATAACTTATATCTCAAATGCGTTACTTTTAAATTTTTAGTAAAAATGTTATAAACTTTTAAAATTAAGTCTATCGTTAAAATAAAACTCAGTAAGTTTAAGTAATATATCATTACCTCTGTTGTAAGAACTGCAAGAGTTACGTTCTTTAGCAAATTCTTCATTTCTTAGGAACAAAATAATTTATATAAATTTTTATAAACATTTGTTAAGTTAAACTGTGTCGTTGCAAAAATATATTATCTCAAAGTATAAATAATATGCTCAAAATTCATTTGCCAATAAAAAAACTGGAATATTTAATATAAATATTTTGCAAATAGTTAAATATTTCACATTTATTTGAAATTTTATTTACTAAATCTAAAAATATTGAAAAAGTTATCAGAAAATTCTTATATTTTGAAAATGTTCTAAAATTTGAACTCTGAACCTAAGCGATTCTTAAAATCTTATTTTTAAAATTAAGTATTCTTCATATACTCTTTACTATTTATAAGCATGAAATAACTATTCTAAATAACTATTTAGTTTGGTCAGACTTCAATCCGAGACAATTCAGAACTTCAGAATTCAATTCGAGACAATTGCACAGAATTTACCATGTTCGTTTAATTAAATAATGTGTAAATTGAGAATAGTTTATTCTTAATATGTTAAAAAAAATTTAAACTTGCAGCAATATAATTAAATAAACAGAATATTTAAAATTGTTTTTATTTTCATGCATTATAGAAAATCGTTCTCACGAAGAGCTATCCATTTATATAATTTGATTTTGATATAGAGGTTTAAAAAATAGTTGTGTAAATTTTACATTTTATTCTAACTTCGTGACATTAAGTTTGCTATTCGCGTTTTTCACGAACTATAGAGGGCGCTGTATTTTTACAAAATGGCTACTCTATCTGGGTCGTTTGTTAGTCGTCAGTGTAAAATGAATTATATATTACTATCTGATGTAATGAAATATGCTACTTGTAGCAGTTCATCGAGAAATTTTATAGAAGGAGAACAAGTATTACTAGCAGGACACGTCATTTTATNGCTAATAATAAAAAATTTAAGTTAAAAAGAATATCCGGAAATTATTTATATATATTATTTTATTTTATAGCTTCAAATTATAAAACCATTCTGTACTAAAGTTTTGTAAAACTGTAATGCTCATTATAAGATATTTTGTATTACAAGACATATTATCCATCATATATGTCAACTAGAATTTTATTTGGAATTATTTGTATTCTGTGTTAAAATATCAAATTTAGAATTAAAATTATATCCTATATTATATGAAGAATTTTTCTGTAAAGAAGAAATATAGTATTTACCTGAAAAGTAAACGGACGAATTACTGCAGTTAATTTTGATAGTTGTGGTGGTTTACCAATAACGAATTTCACCGGGTTTACAGTAATAAGATATGAAAAATCCATGTATTTATATCGTTCAAAGGTCTGACTTTTTGGTATGACAATGTCAACTGACTAAACGACAATATAGAAAAATAGAGATTAAAATGTTAAATACAAAGATAATGTGATGAAATAACCTATATATCATACTTTATTTCCGAAATAATATTTAATATCTTTCCAATTTCCTTTTTTAATTTCATAACTGTAATAAAAATGTTTATTATAAATTAATAAAATAACGATTGATAAAATAAATATTTTATGAATCGCTATTTTATATTTATGTGACGTTAACC